CCGAGGTGTTGGGGGAGGGGGGCGCTCACCGGCCCGTCCTTGAGCGCCTTGAGGAGGTCGGCCCACAGCTTGGTGTTGCTCTGGTCCTCCCTGATGAGGCCCCTCTGCTGGGCCGTGAGGCTGTACGGCTCCACCTTGGTTTTCTTGGGTGTCCTTCCCGGGGACCCGGCACCGGTCCTGCCGCCTGGGACAGAGCGGGTGGTGAGGGCAGGCAGCCCCGAGGACGCGTGCGCGCTGCCACGAGACACCCACCTGCCGGCTTGCTCTTCCGCTTGCCCTTCCTGGGGGACGAGAAGTCCTCGTCCTCGTCCTCTTCCTCCTCCTCCTCGGCCGCCCTCTTTCTGTTCTCCTTCTCCTTCTCCTTCTTGGCCAGCGCCTCGAGGTAGCCTTCCGGGTACTGCGGGAGGGTGGACGGCCGTGAGGAGCAGGCTGGAGCCGTGTGCCCCGCCCCGCGCAGCCCGGAACCCCAGGGGGTTGGAGACCAGGGACCGCCCCACCCCACTCACACTTCCTGCCACCTCCCTTCTCCCCTCCCCCAGGCCCCACACCATCCTAGCTGCCTGGACCCCACCACCACCTGGCAGACGGCCTCAGCTCTGCCTCCTCCACTCACTCAAGCCTGAAGCCCGAGGCAGTGACTGTCACCACCCAGGTTCCCAGGATAAAGGGCTAAGCCGCCAGGGCAGGGTGGAGGTGACACATCAAATGAGACAGTGGTCCAGCCGATGTGATAACCTCACTATCTTCATTACTTCCATTAGGGCAGCCAAACTTTCTCAAGGGGCCAGGTGGTATATACCGTCTAGCCCTATGGGGACACCGGGCTCTGCTGTGGCCCCACAGCAGGCAGAACCCACAGGCGCACGAAGGGACTCAGCTGCGCCCCAAGAAAACTGCCTTTACCAACAACCAGCCCCAGCCCAGGGCCTCAGCTCACCAACGAGCCCGCTTTGATGAGCATGGGCTCCTGCGGGTCCTAACAGGCCACTCGGTTACAGCCCCATCTCTGAGGCACCCAGGGTCATGCCCGATTCCAAAATGTTTCAAGAAATCTCCAACCTCCTTTAAAGCAACACTAAGTTGCAATGAAGACTGAGATCCTAAAGAAAAACCCTGCTCCCACCAGGTGCCGACGTTCCCAGCCCACGGCTGTTTTTCTCCCCAATTCCTCAGCTTCTGAAAGTCCCTGTGGTACAAACTTATGTTCAAAAGACACCTCCTGCGACCCCCCCAAGGGGCAGGCACTTTCAGACTCTCAGTGGCAATTAAGATTCCTTAAATAGTCCCACAACAGTTATCAGCTGTACAGCACCTCACCACGGCGAACAGAAAACACCGTAATTACAGTGCCAAAAGCCATATTCCGGCACGGGCTGAATTCTCAGAAGGCGGAAGATTCCATTTCGTAAAGAGGCGAGCCGGTGGCTGGGAAGGATCACCTCCTTACCTGTACACCTACGGCTCTCCACATTCTTCCGGTTTCAGTGGGGATTTTTGGGGAGAGGCTTCTAATTTAATTTCAGACAGACCCACATACTAACACAGCTACAATAAGTCTGGCTCTCAACTCTAAAACCACGAATGCAAAGGCACAACACGATCTGCCCATCCCCAAGGCCCACTGGCTACAGAACTGAAATGGGGCGGCCGGCAACCGTGGCCAGCTTGGTGCCTGGACGTCATGCAGGAGAGAAACCCAGGAGAGCTTCCAAGACGAGGAGGCAGGCTTCGGCTGGCTGAGCGCTCACCGCCCAGCCATCCTTGGGGCTGGCTCCTGCCATGATCCCCAGCGACCAACCAGGAAGACAAGGCTCTGAGCAGCACTGCAGGCCCAGGTCGCACTGGCATCAGCTGCCAGGTGGGCCAGGGGAGTCCAGAGCTGGGCCCCCGGCCCCCACAAGCCCAGCCTGGACGCACCTGCATGGTCAGCCCCAGTTTCTTGATCCGGTCCTTCCCCTCCTTGGTCCAGGGGCCGGGTTCATTGTCATCCCTCCGCAGGAGATAGCGCCACACCAGGAAGCCAGACTTCCCCTTCTCCGGCCAGTACCTCACGACCTGCGGGGCCAGGGGAGTCCAGAGCTGGGCCCCCGGCCCCCACAAGCCCAGCCTGGACGCACCTGCATGGTCAGCCCCAGTTTCTTGATCCGGTCCTTCCCCTCCTTGGTCCAGGGGCCGGGTTCATTGTCATCCCTCCGCAGGAGATAGCGCCACACCAGGAAGCCAGACTTCCCCTTCTCCGGCCAGTACCTCACGACCTGCGGGGCGGGACGGTGGCCGTCGGGATCTGGGACTCTGGGACGGGGCGGCCG